CCTCCTGAGACCATTCCTGAGCCTTTTCTGGGCTCCTTCCAACCATTTCTGGGTTTTTTTGGCTCCTCGCGGACCATTTCTGAGTTTTTTCTTTGAGCTTCTCCCAGGCTATTTTCTGAGCCTTTGCTTCTCCCAGGCCAGATTTTTGAACTTTTTGGGCTGTTCATTTCTTTTGTGTTCACAACAAAGCTTCTCCAAGCCCCGGGACCCCAGGATTGGCCTGGACCCACAATGAAAATGCGAATCTCTAGTACTGAAATCGCTGGTTCTGGGAGGCCCTAGCAGGCCCTCACAAAGGCTTGCGGTAACCTCCAGAGGCATGGGAGGAATGGGAGGCGAGAGTCGACCCCCACGACCTTTTCACAGCCTAGTCTTGGTCAAGGGAGAGTCGTATCGGGACGCTGGCCCGATTCAGGGGCAGCGCTAACCCCAACTGCTTTGTGTCGATGGTTTCCGTGCTGGCAAAGGATGCCAAACGCCTTCAAAGAAGTCGAAGGGCAACGGTACCCCTGCGGTAACCCAAACCAATGGGCCACCCCCACGACCTTCTCACACTAGGTCCAGGGAGAGTCGTGTCGGGACGGTCGAGGGGCAGCGCTACCCCTTCGGTAACCCAAACTGCTTTGTGTCGATGGTTTCCGTGCTGGCAAACGAGGGTCGCAGACAAGGGATGCCAAACGCCCTCAAAGAAGCACGTCGCGACGCTGGCCCGGGGGCAACGGTACCCCTACGGTAACCCAAACCAATCTGTGAGATACTTGACAGACGCCTTCCGTGAAGGCAGATGAGGGATGCCAAACGCCTTCAAACAAGCCCGTCCCGACTTTGATGATGAAGGGCTATCCCCCCGACCTTTCACCTTTCACAGCCTAGGGGCAGCGTTTTCCACAACTTCACCTCTTTGCAGCCGTGCCCCCGCGAGGCTCAGATCGGGACGGTGCAGAAACAGCGTGCGCACGGACACAGCATGCCCCCGCTGGAAAAGCAAAAACAAAACTTTAGGAACTAAACCCTAAAATAGATATGCCGGGTGGCTTGGGGTGGGCTTACCGCCACGCGGCGTTGCGAGCGACCCGGGCAGAGGGGCCGGTTATAAAAAAATAAGGTGAGGCCCCGGAGCCTAGCGAGCAACCCAGAACGTAACACACCCTAAACCCGAAACCCTAAACCCTAAACTCCACATCTGGCCGCAGGCTTCTGGGCTACTGCGGCTGTGAGGAACTCCATTCAGAACTCAAGGGTGCTAGGGCTGTAGGGTTTAGGGTTTAGGGCTTAGGGTTCAGGGTTCAGGGTTTAGGGTTCAGGGTTTAGGGTTTAGGGTTTAGGGTTTAGGGTTTAGGGTTTAGGGTTTAGGGTTAGGGTTTAGGGTTTCGGGTTTCGGACCCAGACATTCTAAGGCTTGCCGGCTGGGGGGGGATGTCCCCCCTTTTACTGACAATTCGGGCTTTAGGGTGCAGGGCTTCAGGGCTTTCGGGCGGGGTCATTAGAGGGCGTTGAGGACCTCCGCGCCTTCACAAGGTTAGGGCGTGTAGGGTTTAGGGTTTAGGGTTTAGGTTTTAGGGTCTAGGGTCTAGGGTCTAGGGTCTAGGGTTTAGGGTTTAGGGTTTAGGGTTTAGGGTTTAGGGTTTAGGGTTTAGGGTTTAGGGTTTAGGGCGTAGCGTATTTTCTTGGGGTGTCTTCAGAGTTCAAACCAGCCTTCGCCGGCAGCCGACCTGTTCAAAAAAACAAATAAGTGCCTCGGAGCGCCCCTGGCATATGTGGCATGTGAGACGGACAGGTACACCTGCAACTTGCAAACACTTGGCGCATAGGGCTTAGGGGCTTAGAGGGCTTAGGGTTTAGGTCTTTGCTTCTGGCGAGTTTACTGGGTTGTACCAAGGAAGGCCTCGTGAGCTCTTCCCGAATTGCGTGAGACGTGGCTCCCGGAAATAGTCCGCTGGGAACTTCCAGGGAGCAGCTGCTCCTAAAGGCTAAACCCTAAACCCTAAACCCTAAACTCTAAACCCTAAACCCTAAACCCCCGAAACCGCTAAACTCCCCTAAACCTTGCTCCGAATCGAGCCAACCGGTTTGCTGCGAGACAGCTCTGGGGAAGGCAGTCTCCTCAGATTTCCGTGATTTGGGAGAAGCAGCCAGGTCATTCTGTGGCATTCGGGGCTTTTGGGGGTTTTGGGGTGTAGGGTTTTTCAATTCCGGCCCTTAGGGTCTCAGAAGCTTAAGTCACTTTTTTTGCTAAGGTTTGGATGAGACCGGGGACGTCAAGTAGAAGTCTAGGACACAGGGGGAGAAGAGAGAGAAAAGGCCTGCCCAGAGATGTCCGATTCGCGTGAGCCCGCGACTGAAAAGAGTCTGAAGGTTGCGCTCGCTGTGGCGAATGTTAAGTTTACTCTGCATATGAAGTAGGGTTTATATCACTGGTATCCGCACAAGGACACCCACTAGATACCCTTACCAATTTTGCAAAATAGGGGTACCGCTTTTATACCCCAAATAGAATAGAATCCCCTTAACAGGACCCCCCAAAAAGGGTACCCCTATTTTCGGAAACTCACAAAAATCCTTAAACCCTAAACCCTAAACCCTGCTTCATATCAGGTTGGGCATGTAGCTCAGGCCTTGGCTTTCTTTTAGCAAGAAAGCCTGGGTTCCTAAACGGGTGGTTTAGGGTTTAGGTTTAGGTTTATGTTGACGGTTTAGGGTTTAGGGTTTAAGGTTGAGGGCTTAGGGCTTAGGGCTTCGGGCTTAGGGCTTAGGGTTCAGGGAGGTCTTTGAGAGGGCTGCACTCGTCTTGGGGCTCATGTGTTGAAACTGGACTTTGCTTTCAAAAGTCATCCTACACGCCTCGCGGGCTACTGCTTCCCGCCTGAGGCCCTACAGCGTCTTCTATAAGAAGGTGAGACGTCGACTCAGCTTCAAAACAAACCTGGAAGTTGGGGCGTTTGGGTCTAGGGGTTTGTACCTTGGACCCTTAAGGTTGTATCCGGTCTGGGGGACCCTTCTCGGAGATCCTTAAGCTAGCATAAAGGCCATATTAGGAGCAAATTAGGGGGAACCCTTCAGGGTACAACCTTCGGGGTAGGGTTTAGGGTTTAGGGTTTAGGGTTCAGGGTTTAGGGTTATAGCCCTAAACCCGAGTCTTAATCCCTTGATTCGGGTTGGGGGTATGCAACTTGGGAGCTCAACATCTGGGCTTTCGGGGGTCTTGGGGTGTGGAGGGCCGGTTTTGAGGCCTATCCGCCCTGTTGGCAAGATGAGAACCAGCGATTCCAGGGCGATGATACTTGCAACTAACTAGCTGAACTCTAAACCCTAAACCCTAAACCCTAAACCCTAAACCTTAAACCCTAAACTCTAGGCTCCTGCATTAATCAAACTTCCAGGCCTTTTGAAACAGGGCAGCTGGTTTCATCCCGGCCTCTGTCGTTAGGCAGGCTGCCGCTGGCGATCGATCCGTCCGGCTGTCGCTTTACAAAGAGTCGAGGAAATTGCGTTCCCTTTGCTGCTAATTGCTTAGGACCCCCCAACATATTTTGTTTTACATAAAAAAAGAATCATTTTTCTTATAAGAAGAAGAAGAATAATAATCTTCCTTATAAGGGCAAGAAAGGGATTTTCATTTTTACTTTTTGGGTGGTTCTGAAGCAAAAGTAGTTTGGGCACTGCTCTGGAGTTCGGCTTAGGGCTTGGGAGGGTTGAGGTTTTAGGCATTGGGGCTATTGGGGGCACCGTTGCACAGGGAGTTTCCGTGACAAACCAACCGACAGTGTGCTGCCCACTGGCCGGCTTTCCAACAACCAGCATCCATGGGTATGTCTTCCATGGGACCCTACAGTGAAACCTAGAGTGCAGCTATTCAGGGGCAGTCTCCAGGGCCCGGGTTTAGGGTTTAGGGGCACAAGCTCCCGTGGGGTAGATTCCGCTTGCTGGGCCTGGGTGGGACTACCCTGGAAAGCTTCCTCAGCCAGCAGAGCTCCTCCACGCCCCCCTTTTCCAGGGCTGCAAGAACTGGCGGCAGGCTATTGGGCTGAGGACTTAGGAGTTTACTGGGCTTAGGGTTTAGGGTTTGGGTTTAGGGTTTAGGGTTTAGGGTTTAGGGTTTAGGGTTTAGGGTTTAGGGTTTAGGGTTTAGGGTTTAGGGTTTAGGGTTTAGGGTTTAGGGTTGTTAAAGGATGATTTCAGTTCCATGCTGCAAGGCCGATGTGTGGACAACTCCCGCAAGGTTGCGGCTACGAAAGGCACCTTGGGCACGACATGATGTCATGCAGATGTACAACACATTTACGAGCATATGCAGCAGACATTTGTACAACACCCCACTGCTTTTGTGCATATGACTCGACAGACATAGTTCGCATTCGTTGACTCTTGCTACGAAGCAAAAATGATCGAGCGCCATGGTTTCAGATTGCTGGGCTGCGATTGATTCCAGGCCACGGGAAATTTCAATAGGTTATGATGGCCCAACCGCCGGCTACTGACACTCCGCTGGCAAATGGGATAGAGCCCTTTGTTGCTCATCGTGAGGATGAGCCTGAAAGCCAGGTCTGCGATGGACCGGGAAGACAGGTCTCGGATGTTCCGATGACAAGCCAAGAAGCGGCAAACTTGCAAGCTGTGCTGGAAAGTGATGCTCCGAGAGGCTATGGCACTATGGAAAATGCCCCGAGGCCTTCGGTGACACAACCTGGAGACTTCGACCGTGTGGGGACAGAGGAGAATGGACCACGACATCTGCAGGCGGAACCTACGAATCTGACGACTGATGATCGGGCCAGGCCCTCTGAATCTGAAAGAACTGGTGGGAGTGCAGGGCAATCAGCGCATGGGTATTTTACGCCACGATCAGTACAATCTTTGGTGCCACCTCGTGGTGTTTGGTTTTCAGGAATGGAGATGCCTACATGTCGATGGGAGGACACGGGGAAAACTACCCGAGTCCTTTGGCTGGGAGCTCTCGATCGTCGCCACCAGGCGGAAGAGCATTTGTGCTGAGGTCTCCCATGGGGTCCCAGCCGAAGGCCCCTGCAGCAACGCCCCCGAGCTCGTCTTCAGTGCCTGCGGAAGCGATACAGGCCGAGGTGCAGCGACAATTGGGTGGATTGCTTAACAGATTGCAGCAGGCTGAGGACAGGAATAAGGACCTCCACGCTGAGCTCGAGCGATATCGACAACGGGAGACCGAGCAAGCCTGGAGTCCGTGGACACGAAATGAGAATCCCGCTGCTGCTGGCCCAACACAAGCCCCAGGACTGGTTGCTGAGATTGGGGAGGGGCCCGGACTTCCAGATCGCGAAGCAGCGTCCGTGCCAGCACCTCCTGACACATGGTCAGGTGGTCAACAAACAGGCATTTCTTCAAGACCATATGTCCATGAAAGTGAGGCCCAGTCGTTTCCCCGCTTGAGTACAGCACCACTGCCTCCAGCCAGCACAGTAACACCGGGATTGCTGGAATCGATCATGGGAAGAGTAAGATCTCCGAGTCCACCGCCTCCACCAAGAGCAGGTTCGGATGCCGCTGTACTGAATGCCTTGACTCAGGGGATGAAGCAGCTACAAGACCTGCAGATGCAAGCCATGTCCAAGGCGACTTCGTCAAGCCAGCTGGTCGAGATCGTAAAGCCTGGAACAACCAACCTGGCACCAATACCCCAACTGAGAGGTGATTCGCTGGCGACGGCTGCTTTGGAGTTTCAAGATTGGCTGGAAGTAGCAGGGTCAGTCATGTCGGACGTGAGTGAGAGCAGCGGACAATGGTGGCAACTTGTCATCAAGCAGGTGGATGGCACATACCACCGCTGGCTTGGCGCAACCCCTTTGGAGCGGCTACAGGTGTTTCCCGAGCAGTCTTTTGAGCTCTGTACTGGAAGATGGGTCCGACTTAATGCCCGAGTAACATCGATGATGCTGGGAGCAATGGACGAAAGTTTGCGAGCTGACATGGTTTCTCAGAGACTGACTCAGGATACAGTGAAGATGTTGTTCCGACTGCATACCCTGTTTCAACCTGGAGGCAGCGCCGAGCGCTATGAGATGCTCCGTCGGCTACAAACCCCCAGCGAATTTCTTCAGGGTGGAGATTCCTTGGCTGAGGCCCTCAAAGTGGTGCGAGCATGGCCTCGGTGGCTTTCCAGATGTCAGGCGGTCAAGATGAGTCCCCCTGATCCTTCGGTGCTGGCAAAAGGACTGGCTTCAGTTACAAGCAAGTACATCCAAGGGTCTGAGGATGCATCGTTCCGAACTGCAATGCTGCGAACCACCCTACGACTGGATGGGCAACCGTCTCTGGACCAGGTCATGGCTTACCAAAAACACCTACAAGCAGAGCTCGAGACTCTTGTGGCAACAACCTCAACGACACCAACACCAAAGGTGAGAGCTGCTGATGCCCGGGCCTTGGACAAGACGGACAAGGCAAAGGATAAGGAAAAGGGGGAGCTTTGTCGCTACTTCATGAAATCCACTGGCTGCAGACGGGGAATGAAGTGCAACTATGCTCATTCCATGGCGAGTTTGGATAGGGAGACGAGGAGCAAGAAGTGTCTTCAGTGTGGGAGCGAAAGCCACCGACAGAAAGAGTGCCCAGTGGGCAAGGGTGGGTCGAAGGGAAAATCAACCTCATCCTCAGCCCACCTCGCCTACCAACAAGCCGACCTCGAGCACTTCTACCACCACGAATGGACCTGTTGCAGCATCAGTGGCCGTGGAAGAAGGAAGTGGGGCAGCAGTTCAAGGCGTGCCTTGGACCCTGGAGTCGCTAGTTCAGGCGGCCCAACAGATTGTCCAAGCGCAGGGGCAGCGACCTGAGGCAGCGGAAGGGGATAAAAGCCCAGAGAAAACCTCATCCCTTCGGGTTCTCATCGTGAAGGACATCCGAGTGTGCTCCTTGAGGACGACGACCGCACTGCTGGACTCAGGAGCAACCCACGCGTTGAGAAGCGCAACTTCATGGGAGGAGTGGAGTCAGTCGGAGCCGGTGATGGTTCAGCTGGCAGGAAGTCATTCGCTTCAAATGAAGATGAATCAGGCTGGTTCACTTCTCATGCCACCCAAGACAATCGGGGCCGAGGTGGAGGGACAAACAATAGTTCCCCTGGGTGAATTGGTGAAGACATTGGGATATACACTTCATTGGTCCCCAGACGAATGCTTGCTCTTGGATGAAAATGGAGGACAGACGAGGCTCAATGTGAGCAGTGGTTGCCCGGAAATGTGTGAGGTCGAGGCCTTAACGCTGATTGCTCGCTTGGAGGAGCGAAAGAGGGAGCGATTGGAGAATGAGACCTTGGAGACCCAGGACAGAATCGCAGCAGTAGCAGCAGGCATGGACAAGTCGTGGTTCGAGTACCTCATGCACTACACCAACAATGGCAACAGAGAAATGGGGCTGAGGGCTTTGAGGGATGCACCTTTCCTACAGGATTTGCCGGGTGAGTGCTTGAATGGTGTAGTCCCTTCCGCCTTACCCGAATCAGGGTGGGATGTCCTCAAGCCAATCGAGTTTTTGACTCGTGCCCAGCGAAGATCTCTGCTGAGGGCCAAGCGTTGGGTGGTCCACCTGTGTGCTGGCAAGGAGAGTCACCTCGAGTTCTTCAAGCTGGATAGAGGAGACACCGCCGTCTTAGAACTGGATGTAGATCGATGCAAAGGGCAAGACATTCTCAGCGAAAGAGTATGGCGGATGCTGATATGGGGAGCTCGGGAAGGTCGAGTGGCCTTGATCTTTGGGGGACCACCTGGCCGAACCGATTTGGTGACAGCGTTAAACCACAGGCAGCCGCTGGCGCTAAAGAACTTGGCAGTGATTGTTCGGATGCTGTGGCTGCATGTGGTTGCTACTTCTGGTCGACTCACGAGAGCCAAAGGGAACAATAGGAGGAGGTCTGTCGGGTTTTTCTTGGAGCATCCTGGGGAAACTACAAAAAGAGGGTCTCTGTGGAAGATGCCGTTGTGGGAGTTGTTCCAGGAGGAGTCAGGTCAATTCAGAGTCAGCTTTGACCAGCAGGGCATGGGTGCATCGTCGTCTTCGCCTACAACAATAGGAACGAACATCCCCTATTTCCAGCCCTTCAGGATGTTGGAGTGGAGGCTGATCGATCAGAAGGTGAAACAACGACTACCTCTCGATGGTCCCCTGGGTTGGTGAGAGCGACGCTGGTAGGATTCCATATGTGGACGAAATCTCCCTCATTGCTGGCCCTGAGTGAAAGGGCTTGGCAAAAACACGTCGAGAATAACCACGAACCTTTTCGCCGTGACGGCTTGACCTGCGTGATGTCGCGAGGAGTTGGAAAAAGACACGCCAGAATCAGCCACCCCGACTCCTACGTGTTGACTTCGGATCTCACGGGACCAATCAAACCTGGTTTAGACACGATGGTGAGAGGAAGTTTGACCAAGTCCATGAGATACATCCTGGTGGCTCGCTATGCCTTCCCAACTGAGTTCCTCAAATCTTATCGAGGAGGAGATCTCCCGCAAGGTCCTGGGCTACATCTTCCAGAAGAGGACAACGGAGATGGCGGTGGAATAGGACCACTGGGAGACAAGGAGCTGGATCTTGAAGCAGCGCCAAACCACCAAGAAGAACCTCCTGGTGAAGTGCGAGAAGATGATATCCGCAGCAACGAGGAGGGCGAGCTGGTTTTGGAAGATGAAGTGGTCGATGAACCAGCTCAAGGGAGTTTTGGCGACGAAGATGTACCAGAATCTGGCGAGGAGGCCGATGACAAGAAGAATCCCCTTGAGTCATCTGGAGAGGATGGTGAGCCAGCCGTTGGAAAGGGTCACAAGGTGATGGTCCAAGGAGATTGTGAAGCCCCGGAGATGAGCTACTTGGTGTTCTCGACCGCGCTGCCAGACAACAAGAATGCAACGATTCGAGCTGCTCTACAAGATGTTGTGCTTTACATTGCCAGTTTGGGAATGCCGGTGATGAGATTTCATGCTGATCGAGGGGAGTTTTTCTCCACCCACTTCCGGGCATGGCTGCGGAACCAAGGAATCCGTGCAACTTGGAGTGAGCCAGGAGTTCCTCAGTCGAACGGAATGGCCGAGAGGACGGTTCGCTGGATCAAGGATCGTGCCCGGACACTACTTCGAGGAGGAGGATTGCCATTGGAACTTTGGCCAGCCGCAGTGGAAACAGCAGCAGCAGCAGAGCAGCGGGCAAAGGTCCTTGGATGGAGGTCAAAATTGATGGCTCCATTTGGATCAAGAGTTCACTTGAAGAAGAGGCCGTTTACTGCCAAGGGACCAAGGAGGAAAGCTGAAGCGCTGGAATCTAAGTGGACTTCGGGACACTATGTGGGTCTAAGTGGACTCATAGACAATGGCCACCTGGTCTACATACCTCCTGGGGATGATGGACCTGAAGACAAAGGAGGATTTCTTCACACCATGCATGTCCGTGCCCATCTGCATGACCCAGGACCTCCTGTCGACGAGCTGGATGTCGAATTGCCTGATCCTGTGGCAAGGCGAAGGATCACAGGGAAAAGAAGGCCGGCAGAGAGAAAGCTTCAAGTTCCCAACCCGTCCCAGGAGGAGATCGCCAAATACGCAACTTCGAGAGCCGCTGAGTTGCTCGAGACTTGGAACCTTGAGGACGCAAAAATGCTAGTGGAGGAGCTCGGAGCGCTAGGCTTCTTTGAGATGAGGAAGTTCGGTGCTTACCGTCATGGAGGTGTGGTCGGAACTATGAGAGGGTCACTTGAGTTCCCGGAGCTGACGAAACTCATGGCGGGGATTATCACGGACACTGAACCTTCAGCAACCTTCACTGCAATGTGGGTGGCGAGGAACGTAGAGCGAGGAGTCCATCAAGATCAAAACAATGCTGGAGCCTCGTACAATTATGTGGTTCCGATTGTGTGCCCGGACAAAGGAGGTGAGTTGTGGGTAGAGCTGGAGTCTGGGGATGTGGTCACCGGAAAGGTCACGAAGGCGCTAGACAAGGATGGTCGAGAAATGTATGGACAATTGCTGCCATTGACGATGAATACCTGCAATGTGTTTTCCCCTCGAAGGCGACATCAAATCCTACCATGGAAGGGAGAAAGGCAGGTGTTGATCGGCTACACCCCTGAGTGCATGGGCAAACTCACCTATGAAGATATAGAGCGACTGGAGGAATTAGGCTTCGTGGTGCCCACGTTTCAATTCCCGGAGGCTGGACTACGAAGCGATGTGAAGCTTCAGGGAGTCGCGACTGAAGGACACGAAGTGCCACCAGCTGATGGAAGTGGAAACAACTACTTGGAGATTGACAAGGGATGGGTGTGTATAGATCCATTGCTGGAAAAACCACTCCCAGAAGCTCCATCCGCCAAGAAAGTCGAGGTGGGATACACGAGGAACATCGAGAAGCTGCTTTCGGAACTGGCAAGCCCATTGGAAGTCACTCACAATGTGCACCCAGACGAGGTAGTGGCCAACATTGAGGCATGGGAGCCAGCGATACGAAAAGAAGTCAACAGCGTATCGGTTGCCATACAAAAATTGCTGGTTGGCACGGAGGAGCGAAATCGATGGTTTGCTCGACCAGGTGCACAACGACTACCTGCGAAGTTTGTCTTCACGATAAAGCCAAGGGATGATGCTGTGACCACCGACCCAACTACGTGGTTTAAGCGAAAAGCACGACTGGTGGTGTGTGGCAACATGGCAACAAATGAATGTGGATCAGTCTACACCGAAGCTGCTCCTGCGGAATCTGTGAGGGCTGCATTGGTCATGACAGTAAAAAACTCCTGGGTGATTGGTGTTTTGGACGTGGTTACTGCTTTTCTTCGTACTCCGATAGGAGAGACAAAGGGCGACCCAGTGATCATGATACAGCCACCAAAACTTCTGGAAAGGATGGGAATAACGAGCTCCTGGGAACTTTGGGGGTTGGTTCGTGCATTGTATGGACTTAAAGAATCTCCGAGGCTATGGGGAGCATACAGAGACAAACAGTTGGCTGGACTCAAGGTAACGATAGCTGGGGCCATTTGGTGCATGCGACAAGGGAAGGCCATTACAAGCTGGTGGACAGTGCGGGATGAACATGAGAGGGTCCAAGCGGTTGTGGTGGTCTATGTCGACGATTTCTTGCTGTGTGGACAGGAACCTGTGATAAGGCAGTTGGCCAAGGAAATTCAGACCCTCTGGGAGACATCTGATCTGCGATTGTTACAACGGGATGTCGACCCGAGGTTTCTTGGAATGGAGTTGCATTATGAGGATAATGGATCACTGAGCATATCGCAGGGGGCATATGTACAGGAGCTGCTGAGGAGCCATGGGGTGGAAAATCCTCATTGCTGCAAAGTTCCACTTAGCAGGGAGCACGCTGTTTTGGAGGTACCGGAAGAGGAAGCAGGTGCAAATTTGCAGGACATTCGCGATGCCCAACAGCGAACAGGCGAAATCTTATGGCTGAGTCAGCGTTCCAGACCTGACTTAGCCTATTTGTCCTCGATCATGGCCTCGCTATCGACCCGCTCACCACGAAGGGCAATTCAACTTGGACAGCGAGCTTTGGGGTATCTGTTCAAAACCAGGTGGTATCGGCTGGGCATCACCTTTGATGGAAATCAACTGTCTATGTACTGCGATGCTGCGTTCGCTCCTGAGGGAGGCCGGTCGCACGAAGGATGGGCAGTGATGTGGGCCGGAACGCCAATCCTCTGGAGATCGGGGAGACAAAGTCTGACCTCTCTTTCAACGGGGGAGAGCGAACTGATTGCCATTCTGAACGGGACCCTGGGGATGCTGAGCGTTGAGTCCATGTTGTGTGATTTGGATGTAAGAGTTGACAAAAGGGAGGTGAGGTCTGACAGCACGGCAGCCTTGGCGATAGCAAGTGGTGGAAGCAGCTGGAGAACTCGTCATCTTCGGATCAAAGCAAACTGGCTGTTTGAACACCTTCAATCAGGCTATGTGACTTCCAAACATTGTGCGGGTGTGGTACAGTTAGCAGATTTGTTAACAAAAAGCTCTGGCTGGACAAAGGATTATAGACCTACTAGCACTGTGGGGAATGCAATGCACTGGAGCAAGAATCTACCATACCGAAACACCAAAAGGAGCGGCGCGGATTCTGGTTGCGATGATATGCTGCTTGTTGGTGTTGACAACAGAGGCTACAAGAGAGGCAGCCACCATCGAGGAGGAGGCCTACAAGAAAGGCATACAACTTGATTGGGACCTGGTTGGTTGGATGTTGATATGTCTGGCAGTTATCGGGCTTGTGGCGGCATGGGAAGTGGGCAAATGGATTGCTGGGCAAATTGCAAATGAGTGGACCCCTGGTGCAAGTCAGAGGAAATTAAGAAAGCTGAAAAAGCTCCGGGATGCTACAGCCGCTGCAATAAGGATGGAGATGGAAAATCAAGCGAGGCTCCAACCAGAAGCCCCAGATTCCACAGTCCAACGAGAACCCCCAGATTCCACAGTCCGACGAGAACCACCAGATTCCACAGTCCGACGAGAACCACCAGATTCCACAGTCCGACGAGAACCACCAGATTCCACAGACCGACGAGAGCGAGCTGTGGGACAGAACCCACAGCCGAGTACCCCACGAGTCCTGAGGTCGTTTGAGGAGTTATTACAGTCACCAAGCGGATCAACTGTCACCTTGACGGACGCTCCGGAAGATAGTCTGGAGCGTGAGAGGGTCGCACAGGATACAGTCATGTTGATGACCGTGGACGAGATCAAAGCTGGACTGAGGCAAGAAGGCTCAGGGCTTAAGGAGGAACTGGCTGCGAGGCTTTCAGTGAAGTTGCTCAATGAAGAGGCTGGCAGGCAGCAACCGACAACGAGACAGCTCAAGTACGTCTTGTGGTTGTGGCGGAGGCACAGCTTGGGCTTCAAGTACCACTTAAAGTGGAGAGATATTAACGAGAAGGGACGCATTTCTGCATGGCTGGCAACATGGAAGCATGGATAAGTGATTGCAGCTGGGGCCTATCGTCGCAGCTGAGGAGGAGTGTTAAAGGATGATTTCAGTTCCATGCTGCAAGGCCGATGTGTGGACAACTCCCGCAAGGTTGCGGCTACGAAAGGCACCTTGGGCACGACATGATGTCATGCAGATGTACAAAACATTTACGAGCATATGCAGCAGACATTTGTACAACACCCCACTGCTTTTGT